GTAGTTTTCTGTTCCAGCGGCTCAGTGAGGCTTTTTCAAAGGGGTAATGCCTGCTGTATTTTGGGCACACGCCCCAGCTCTGAGGAGCTGGATGAGATTTTCGCCTTAAAATCGGTGATACACACGTAACAACATGTACCGTATATGCCACCTTTATATCAACAATGTATTCCTATTGGTAAAATTTAAAATACGAAAAGATGGGGTGGGAGGGGAAGTGGAATATTCAAACGACTTCAGGAAAAAATCCAAATACTCTTCCTTGAAGCCTTTTTATCCACTTCTCCGAGGCTATGGGTCCCACAATTTACACCAGAGGTGGACCCCATCATATTATATTATATATATATATATATATATATATATATATTATTAATAATAATAATATATTTTAACAAGTCGGCCAGCTCCCACCAAAGCAGTGTGACCCAAAAAGAAAATACTTTCATCATTATTCAACACTTTCACCTCACAAATAATCACTGTTTTTGCAGAGGTGCTCAGAATACAACTGTTTAGAATCATATACGTATAAAGATACACAACATATCCCTCCAAACTGCTAATATCCCGAACCCCTTCTTTAAAGTGCAGGCATTATGCTTCCCATTTCCAGGACTCAAGTCCGGCTATATAAAAATAACCGGTTTCCCTGAATCCCTTCACTAAATATTACCCTGCTCACACTCCAAGAGCTCGTCAGGTCCCAAATACCATTCGTCTCCATTCACTCCTATCGAACACGCAACCATATGAGGTTCCTAAAAATATGCATGCTTACTGAAGTACATATACTAAGGCACCTCATCATATCCCTGCATACTGAGGCATTTCAACATATGTCTACACATTTAGGTATCTCTTCATATACTAGGAAACCCTTCATAATCCTGTGTACTTGGATACTGTGTTGTATACATACAAAAGATCCGCAACATATACCTGCTAATTGATGTGTATCAACATAAACACGCATAATGAATTACTATGCTTTCTGCTCTCAGATCTGTCTGTGGGCGTAGTTTGGGCGTGGGATGCAGACGACGAACAGGAGGGCACCAACGCCCGCCTCACTTACAGTATAGACAAGAATGTGATTGAGGAAGTGTCTGGTCGACCCATCTTCACAGTGGATCCCCTGAGCGGCCTTATCCGCACAGCGATCTGTTGCCTCGATCGTGAGACCACTCCCGAGTACCACATCCAGGTGGTTGCCCACGATGGTGGCGGCCTCAAAGGTGAGTTGGGATGTTACCTAAAATTCCCAAATAACCCGCACATATAAGAATGATATTTATCACGACGTTTCAGTCCGACTTGGATTAGTTTATGGTCCAAGTCGGACCAAACGCCCTAAGTTTTATACTCCTATATGCGGGTTATTTGTGAATGATTCCAGTCATGGTATTGTGCCTTTTAGTTCTCCATGTGACCTATAACGTTTAACAACCTCAGTGGTAATTGATGGATAAACTGTCATTTGAATTTAGGGATGATATTAAAGACGGTGTTATGTTGAGTGGCGGATCATTTCATAGATATTAGATAATCTAGAATATGCAGGTAAAGACAATAATGTGCAATTTAGGACATTTATCAGAGAAAACGTCGAGCCATGTGTGGCATGTTTACCCATTTATCGGTTGATCATTCATACAGGATTGTGTGAACTTGATTGAATTGTGCAAATATAACTGCTTATATTTTGAGAGAATAAATATAAACCTCATTTTAAGCTAATTTTGGGCTCATCCATAAGCGCTAGTTAGTGTTTATATGGGGGACTTAAATCCAACAGTATCGTAACCACCATCTTCACATGGATGCGATACACAGACGATTTTTTATAATTACTATGCCCAAAAGTCTTTTCATTGTGTATCAGTATTGATGAACCTACTATTAAGTTTACTCCAGATGAGGAGGACAACCAACAACTTTCTCTCAGGTGATAATTCTTCTTAAGGTTTTCCGGAAACCTACTTACAGGAGTGATATGTTTCATTTCTTCTCCCATAATGACAACAGAACTAAGAAGAAAAGTGATTTCTTCCTCAGGGCTTTCAGAGTTTTCAGTCTGCAATTCAACGACGAATACACACTTCTTACTACCTTCCAACACTTTCCCTACACTTCATTCACAACATAAGAAAATGTGCGCCACGGATCCTCAACAAGACTAACATCGAAATGGTTGACTGGGGACCTAGACATACTGTGATGCCATTAACAACGTACCGATTAACGTATCAAACACGCTCGACAATAAAATTATTAAAAATTGCCATTACTCGTAGACATCCTTAAAAAAGCTTAGTTCAGGGGAATACATTATAATATGTAGGAATACGAAAAATAAGGTTGAATCAGCTAGGTCATTGAAATTTAGGATCAGAGAACAGAAATACGTCTGTAGCTACGATGACCGTAGCAACACCTGTATCAAACACGAGAACAGTCAAGAATACTTTATGAAGAGCAATAAGGCTAAATTATTCAATTGTGAAAGTGATCTACATAGATAAAAATATATGGAGGTCGTCTAATTACTATTACTAACAGCAATTAACAGGCTGTTATCCGGCAGTTTCAGCATATCCAGAATCTTCGCAAACAGGATATCGCACAAAAAAATGATAATGCCAGTACGTGGTATCCAACTACCAGCAGCTCTACTACTACTGTCACTACCTTCCTCTTCGTGTCACCATTCTTCTGGCAGTACATGTGCAGGTGACTCGTGGCCTGGAAGGCAATGCTCTCGCTTCACACAAAGTGTCCGTGGTTCGATTCCTGGCAAGGGTGGAAACATTGGGCGTGTTTTCTTACAACTGTTGTCCCCGTTCACCTAGCAAACAAATAGGTACCTGGGGGACAAGACTGAGAACCCCAGTGGAAATAAGACAGTCCCTCCATGACGGACTGACTTTCTTGGGTTATCCTGGGGGCTAACCCTCCTGGGTTAAAATTCCGAACGAAATCTTGTTTTACGTGTCTCCCTGTGTCGGCCTTTCCATATCTTTCAAAACTAGTAATTTAGTACATATTATAGTTTCAAAAATGACGGAAGAACTCAGTAATAGTACATTGGAAAGTTTAGTGGTGTGTAATTAATCTTAGCTGATACTGGAACTCTTAAAAGTGATTTAGAGAGGCTAAGTATCATGGTGGACGGAGGAGCCATCAGGATGTATTTTAGAAAAGGCAATACCATAAGAGTCGAAAATCCAATTTTCATGGTTGATGACTTCAAATACCTGTGAAAAGTATAGGTAGCAGGGATGAAATCAAATGAGATTGTGATAGAAAACCGACATAGAAGCACAAGGAAAAACACAAAACTGTTCCACATCTCCAACAGGAGCAAAAAGACATTAAAGGAAAATGTAACTTTGAAGGCAGACTAATGAATCGATCAAACAATTATTCATTTAATATGTAACACCAATCACTGAATAAACTTCACTAGTAAAGCACATATAGTTGATAAATAAGACATATTCGTAGCGCTTGGTTATCTTTGTTGCTGGAATATTTCGCCTCTACAACAGGCTTCTTCAGTTGAATACGAGAATGGGTAGAAGTTTTGAGGCGATCAGTCCGTCACCCTCGGTGGGAGGTGGTCAGTCCATTATAAGTCTCGTTACAAGACAGGTACCGGATATGAGAAACAAAATATATAATGGAAGACAGTACAAAATGAGCCTGATGACTCTCAATAAATGACGATCAGGAGGAAACATGATGAAGATGAACAAAAAAATTTTGGCGCATAGGGTGGGCAATACAACATTCCACATACTAATATAAAAAAACACTTTTGCTATTGCAAACATTTACACATTAACATATAAGTATTGCTACTTCGCAGAAAAAAAAAAAACTTTTTTTCACAAATCTTCATAAAACTTATTTTGTCTACTTTTCACGTATCTGTACTCAAAAAGAAAGACTTTCATCGTGATGTAATTTTATACCATTTATCTGCAACTCTGGAAGCACTCAGAGAATGAACGTCCCTCACCAGGACACAGATGAGGGAAGACAAGTGGAAACTCGACACGCAAATCTGTGTTCATTGTGAAAGACTTGAAAGTTTACTGATCCAATAACAGACGTGAAAATCACTTCCTCAAAACCATTGATACAACAAGCTAATATACAGTTTAGAAGTGATCCTAAGATCTGCAGCTCACAGTAAGCAAGTTTAACTACGTGATTAAAGCTATGAATACAGCATGGTAATTATACACAGATGAAACAGACTGTCTAGGTACATATAATTATTTTTGAAATCCAATAATATCTTGGACACTTCACAATACTTGAATCTGTAGTTCTTCCATATGATCGTAAATCTCTCAGGAGTATTCTATCACTCCTTGTAAAACGTCTACAACTCATCTTGATTGTTTCTTCTGTTGTTCTTGGGTTTCTTTCATCAATGTGTCTAACATGTAGTAATGTTAGTAATGTCTGGCGTTTTAGATACGCAATAATGTGCTGTTTAGTCTTCAGGTCGTAGGCATGAATATGTGTACATTTCAGGACATTTGTTAAAAGAAAGGTATCGCCACGAGTGGCGATACCATTATATATAATATATATATATATATATATAATATATATATAATATAATATATATATATATATATATATATAATATATATATATATATATATATATATATATATATATAATGCAATAAGATCACAGTAAACAGGTGATTTCAGAATATGCAAAACAACCACTCTGAAAGAATAGAGAAATTCCAAGCGCTTTCGTGACTACTCACATTATCAAGGAACTATGAAAGTAAAGCATCCAAGGAAGCTATATAAGGGGGTCTGGCCAACACCTCACTATCAGATCCCACAACGGTTAAACACCTGACGCGCGCCGGCCCAACTGGACAGGTCCTTTGCACAACCACCAACAAACTATTCTACCCAAGAAAATTTTTAAAATTATTATTTGTCCAGTGTATTATTAAATTCTTCCCAAATTCTATTAATTATAAATGGATCTAATTTATATAAACCAAAGGAAATATTCATATTATTGTCAAAACTGCTTTTTATGAAACAAGATTCAATTATATTCCTGTCGACCATGGACTTGCTTGATACTACTTTCTCAACTTTTGAAAATCAATTGGATGGTTAAAATCTCTTACATGAATAAATAGAGCATTGGAATCTTGTCCAGTTCTAATGCTATATTTATGTTGTTTTAATCTTAGTTCGAGATTTTTACCAGTTTGACCGTAATAAACTTTATCGCAAATTTTATAAGGAATCTTATAGACACATCCATCAGCATTTTGGGGGAATTCTTTATCAAAAGTTTTTTTTACTGTATCAAGATTTTTGAATACAACTTTAATATTAAAAGTCTTAAGAAGAGAAGGCATATCAACCAAGTTTTCATGGTAAGGGAGAGCCAACATATTTTTAGTTGAATAAGGCTGGTTGTCCCTTTTTGGATTGTAAAAAGTATTTCTAGCAACTTTAAAAGATTTATCAATTACATTTCTTGGGTATTTTAAATCATTACCTATTTCATAAATTTTGGATATTTCCTCATCTATGAACTCAGGACTACAAATTCGTAAAGCTCTCAAAAACATTGATGAGAAAACAGACAGTTTGACTCTATCTTGATGCGAAGAATAATAGTGGACATAGGAACAGTTATTTGTAGGTTTTTTGTAAATTTTAAATTTGAATTCATTATTACCCTTAATAATTAAAACATCTAGAAAAGTTAATGAGTTATTTTCTTCAAACTCAACAGTAAAGTTTATGGAATGGGCTAAGCTATTTAATTTTCCAAGGAAATGGTGTATATCTACATTTTTTGGCATAAGACACAAAATATCATCAACATATCTGAACCATTTAGCTCTATTAGGGAGGATTGTGTTAAGCAACCTTGTTTCAAAAAATTCCATGTATAGGTTACTAAGAAATCCTCTTTCACCTGTTCTTAGAAAACCTATACATGGAATTTTTTGAAACAAAATTGCTTAACACAATCCTCCCTAATAGAGCTAAATGGTTCAGATATGTTGATGATATTTTGTGTCTTATGCCCAAAAATGTAGATATACACCATTTCCTTGGAAAATTAAATAGCTTAGCCCATTCCATAAACTTTACTGTTGAGTTTGAAGAAAATAACTCATTACCTTTTCTAGATGTTTTAATTATTAAGGGTAATAATGAATTCAAATTTA